GAAGACTGGTACTCAAAAGAATATATGATTAACAAACATGTTAATGTAGACCAAATCTACCAATTAATAAAAAGTAAATCATGTGACCAGAAAGTTTAAAATCCATCCAAGTCAAAAGAAAATGATCAGTACATATGTAAAGATGGTTACCGGGAGACGCAATTATATCCTTCATGAAAAATATAAATCATTTCACTTTATGCTAAAGAATGAGCTGAAGGGGGATGTTGTCCAGAAGGAGGACGATGAAAGCTCCGCAACTAAACCAACCAGCTCAAAGAACACTATTAATTGCTTTAATGGAAATGATACCTCTACTCTTATTGAATATCCCAATATTGATAATATCCATATTTTCTGTCCAGTCTATTCAATACAGTAGTCATGTATTCACTGTCTCATATTATGCAATATATTGTGTCGATCTTCTAAACACCAATCAAAACTGCATCCGTGTCAAGATAATTTATAGATTTGATTCTGTACTATTTGGCAGTAGAGTACAGTATACAGTAATAACACTTGCTCAAGTAATACCCAATATGGAATCAAATATATTTTGGTAGGCGTATAGAAATTCACTTAACTTTGACCAGAAGTCATTTTAGTAGTGGAGTAGTCGTTAACGCTTACTGACTGCATTTAATCTCTGAACTAGGTTGTCTGTTGTCTATCTATCTATCTATCTTTTTTCGATATAGAACTTTGCACCGATGTGCACCAGTTCAAGTCGCCACATTCCCTCCATGTATCACACAAAGCAGGAGAAGAAAGTTGAAGAAATGCATAATAGAGACAGTAGACAGAGACATGAGACAAAGGAAAAGTAATAACGAATAACAATATACTTTCATTGGAAATTATAAGTCACAAGGAGTGGATGCATCTGTGCCAGCCAACGATAATGGGGACTTCGAGCTATACCACCGATTGTCTCCAGTCGTCATTGGTTCCTACAATCCTGAGGACTCCAACCAAGAAGTCTACACCTTCCTACGTGATTGACTGGCTTAAACTAACAGTTGTGGATTTCATTGTCTGGTGCCATGTCTTGGTTTGAACTAGGTGTAGAGTCTATCTGTCAAGATTCTTTCCTGTGGTGTTTTTTTTCACTTGATTGATCTCCGGCTGTAAACCATTAGAACATAATCATCTCTTTCGGAACACAATCAATGGACCTATACCTTCTATAAGCAGCTTAGATCAGCAGTGATAAACGTAATCTTGTTTAAGTCACTCTTAAATATGTCTTTGAATTTTCTCCTTCGTCTCTGAGGTTATCGACTAGGCGCATACAGTTCATTTCCTAAACATTTTAATTTTTGTGAAACGACTCAACTTTTATAGGTGCATTTTTTTTCTCTCATACAACTGAGTTGTACACCACTTGGGTTTTGTAGTCTTATGGGGATATTGTAACAACAGAAGACCAAGACACGGAAGCTATGGGGAATGTTTATTCCAGTGATCAAACCGCTGTTTATATATCTATACAGTTTTTTACTCTTTAACCAATTATTAAGCGTGTGATTTTCGCTTACATTAAACGACATGAAATTATTATTATTATTATTGTATCCTTTAATTCCTAGAGGAACATAGGGCTTCAGCTGCCCACCTTCATTGCCTTCTGTTTTATGACAACTTTTTCACCCCGCTCCAGGTCTGTCCACATGCTTTCATCTCCTCCTCGTATGACCTCCTCCAAGTCACCCCGCCATCGCACTGACGACCAACTTGCCGCTTCCCTTTCGGCCTGGTTCCACTCGAGTGATGGCTTGTCTAGTGATGTCACTTGATGGTTTCCTCGAGTATGGCCAGTCAATCCACCTTCATTTCTTCCTCCCTATTTGTTTCACAATCGGTTCTTCCTGGGTTGGTTCGCTCATTGCCAGAGATCCCTGTTGGTGATCTTTTCTGACTGGCCATCTGATCTTGAGCAAAGTATTGAGCGAAAACAACTGTTAATGAAGGTCTGTGGTTTGTTTGAGATGCTCTTTATGACTCGCCAAGTCTCTGATCCGTATAGTGAGTAGCACTGAGTTACTTTACATTGGAGTTGAAAATCCGGATCTTATTTTTGATGGTGAGTGCAGCCTCCATGTACATCTATCAGTTCACCTGCTTTTGTGGGGCAAGGTACATTGGCCGTAGCCACAGGACGCTTTCCACACGGATACGAAAACATTCCAGCTTGGTTTTACAAGGAAGAAAGGAAGTGTGTGAGAAGCTCTAGTTTGGAAGACCTGATCGACTCCTGTCACTCCACCAACCCTGACCATGATTTTATGATCATCTACCGAATCCATGCTAACCTGCCACGTTTTCTTCGCTACACACTTCTAAAGACAGAGGAGATGCCTTAGCAATTCATGACTTTAAGCCAGACCTTTGTGTACAAAAAAAGTATGTACAATCCCCACTCCTCCTGCCTTGGCTGTAAAGGGATGGACATTTATTTATTTATGTATTTTGTTTATTTAGTTATTCTATGTACCTTTCCCTTATTACTACGTTTATTATTATTATTATTATTATCACTCTGAACTGTTTCCACTTGTCGCACTTGTCATTCTGAAACCAAAGTTATTTTTACAATATTGAATTCTATCTTATGAAATTTCACACCATGTTATGTAACATTTTATTTTCGCTTACTTATCCTATAATTATGCACCCCTTTCCAACATCTTTATACCTAATGTATTAATCTATATATGACATTAATTATTTTGCTACTTGACATTTAACCATGATTATAATAACAAACATTTTAATTTTATATAGCTTGGTTTGTAGGGGTTAATTTTGTTTCTTACGAGTTGATCACGGATTGATATCAGTTATAGGAACCATTGAAAACCAGCCACAGGGAGTACTGGATAGCCAGCTGTTTCATCCTAGTTTGGGAGTCACCGATAGTACGCACCCACTGGGGTTCGAACCTATGTCTTTCCGGCTACAAATCAAGCTAGCTCGTATACCACTCAACAGTCACTGGGAACCGATTCAATAGCCAGGCATCCAGCCCATGAATTCTAACTTCTGCTTATTCATGATTTAGCGTGACCCCAACCATTATCGTCGGTGGGACATCTATCCTCACACACGTGACACCTGGATGCACCTCACTGGTTACGACTTCTCACTAGAACTTACTCCAGGAAACTCCATCCTGTAGCAAGTCAGTCACTAGCGAGCATCAGATTAATTTTCTATAGTTTGGTTTGTAAGGGTTAGTTATGTTTTTACCAGTTGACCACGGATTGATATCATTTCATACTATTATTATTTTATGCATTCACATCTATGATTCAATTCCCTCAACGGACCATATATATATGTGATTGTACAAGTTGATAATAAATTCGTTGTTGAGAAAAGTCTCTTCACTGAGTATTGTGTTTTTGAGATATCATATGTATCATACCACCACCATATGACAAGATTGTCATAAAGGCAAGCAACACAGAGGTGGATAAGAAATATTAGTGACTATGTAGAAAAATCGATGGTGTGGCAACGGCGTCACCACTAGGATCCATTCTAGCCTAAACTTTCCTTGCGAAACTAGAAAATGGGCCTTTGAAGGATGTTATTAATGAGCTAGAATTTTATTGTCGGTACATCGATGATACACATTTTTGATTATGAAAAATGAGAAGGAAGCAAAAGCCATCCTGGATAAATTTAACGAGGTTCATCCTGCAATAAATTCTACTATTCAGAAAGAAAAAGACTATAGTATTTCATTTCTAGATGTCCTTATGACCAGAAAAGAGGATGGTACACATAAGAAGAAGAAGTGTATATAGAAAATCAACATCAACGGGTCACTATACTCATTTTCTCAGCTCTGTTTGTTCCCTTGAAATACAAACACAATCTGATAAAGTACCAGGTCCACAGAGCAAGAGTATGTCTTGATGAGGAACTTAATAATTTTGAGCGGTTGATGAGTGAAAACGGTTATCCAGAAAAGTTTATTGATAAGAATATGCATCTAAAATCAAAGAAGTCCAAGGTAACAACAGTTCCAAAAAAGGCCTTATTCTTATAAATGCAGTTCCTTTGGGGACAACATCAGTGAGATACTAACACAGCGCGGTGAAATGCGGTAAAAGTTGCATTCCCTGCCACCGAATTACGCTGTGTCTTCAAAACCACTCAACACTATTTTGCGTTTGGGAGTTAAAGATAAACTGCTTAATTTCGCCTCTTCCATGTGTATCTACCAATGGAACTGCTCCTGTGGCGTGAGCCAGTTAGTTGCATAGGCCGTACAATTAGGCGTATTTCTCTTCTCGGATTTCTGAACATCATCCTGCATAGTGGTTTGTTAAGTTAGGGACAAACAAAATCCATTCACATAGCGCCATTCTATCTCATCTTGTGGATGCAGAACACAAGATTCATGTCAACGAGGCAGCTTTCAGAGTCATTTGCGGCATACGAAAAAAAGTCTTAACTTCGCCCTTAGAGTTCGTCCACTAAAGAAGCCTAATGTATGCGTCCAAATGAAGTTAGTTCAGACATTATCCTTACCTTGGCCATCTAGGTGTGAATGATCCTCATTTGGTTGTGAAATTTCCTTAATTTTATTTGATAGTCTGTTTACTATTATATGTTTATTATTATTACTATTATTATTATTATTATTATTATTATTATTATTATAATTTAAGCATCTCGAATGAACTGTAATTCCATTGATCTTACTTAACAAATCGATATTATTTAACAGACACTAATATTGTTATTGACTATTAATCTAGAATATTCTATGTATATAATAAACACACATGTATATTAATTATAGAGCCAGAAGAGGAGGAAATTATCGAAAAGGATATTCTTTGCTCGCTCAATTATTTTGTGTTTTCTAGATGTCTGAATGAATATTTTTAGCTATATTCCTCACTTGTCATATTTTAAAAAAAAAGTCAATTCGGTCAACAATAATTTAATTACCAAATCCGTTTTTTTCTTTTTTGTATTAGGCATCACGACTGAAATCAGATAATAATCAATGTCATATTCCACCGGTTACATCGACTTTATCATCCCCATTTCTACTAAATCAATTGTCAGTATCATCGTCGCCAGTGTTGTCTTTATCCTCTTCAACGATATCGTCGTCCTCATCATCATCATCCTCTTGGTCAACAACACAACGTGGACAAACAAAATCTGGTTTCAGACGTCCAATACCACAACCGTTACAATTAGTCAATGAGATTAATTATCAACCACAACTTGGTCTTAGTAGTCAATATTCACCGATTACACCAGCACCGATGAATATGTCAATGCATACAATGACGATGATGACAGACGATGAGACGACGACGACGACGAAGACGACTACATCATCAACGATAACAACAACAACAGCATTGACGAAATCGCTGACAACAACAGCGACGTCGACGACTAATACTACTATGAATTTTGAATGTAATCTTTTCCAAAATATCCAGAATAATGAAGGATATCATCATCGAGTTGATAATGTAGTTGTCGAAGAGCGTAATGATACCAACAAGTTTTCAATGTGTTGTTTTGATACTAATCGGTTAGATTTATCACAATTTCAAGATTCTTTATTATTCAATTCAATCTATAGTAATAACAATAATAATAGTAATAGTAATGTCAGTGTATCTACTACTGTTCCTGCTCATATTAATAATCCTGGTGGTATTAACACTTGTAAGGCATCCTCCTCCTCCGCCACTTGTGTCGGTGCACAGGATAAAACTATAGACAACAATAATAATAATAATATTATAAATATGAATAATATAATGTTTATAAAGCCTAATAATAGCACTACTTATAATGATACTGATAATAACAATTGTAATTTATCCTATACTGTGAGTGATCGTTTAATGAATTTATCACAGAAAAGAACAAGCGTTAGTAATAATAATAATAATAATACTTTACTAAGATTTCACCACCATCAACAGCAACACCAACAACAGATGTCTGCTCCTGCTCCACTGTCGTCTTCTCATCACCCTCATCATCAACAACAATCTCAACAGCAACACGAAGTCCAGAGTGGTAATAACATTATCTGTGATGAAGAACAAGGTGATTGTTCAACGTGTTGTTGTCGGCCTACATCATTTAGTTTTATAAATTCATTTGATGAATGCACTACACAGCAACAACAACAACCAGCACTTCTTCGTCAAAATCAGCAAACAGATCGTCAACTACTTTATCATAGGCAACAGTTGCATAATCATTCACAGAATCAACAACATCAACAAAATGTATGTTCTAATATTTCTACAATGCAGAGTTTACAATCAAGTAAGTTGGCGGGTGTACTACTACTTTGCGTGTTCTGCTCTCTTTTTTTTCAATTATACATTTTTGTAATATTCTGTAGCTGTAGCTTTGATTGATTTATGTGGAGGTGAGGTGTGGTTCACAGTAGCCCTACCCTACCCCGCCACGAGTTTGAACTGGGCAGTGTCAACAGCCCGATAGCCACCTTGGGGCACGAATGATTTATTCGGGGAATTGGGTATTATTATGTACTCGTCGCCAAATTATTGTTATGTACTGGTCGAGAATTTAATAGTCCTGACGCAAGAAAGACGTAAATCAGAAGACCACTAGGTTTGCGATGATACTTCTATTTTCCAAACACAAAGAGAATGCAAAAGTGGTATCACACCAAAAAGTGTCACACAAGATTGTGAGAGCGAAATATATATGAATGTCCAGACAAGTGTGTGAAAAAAACCAATAGACAGTCTTAACATGAATGGCTAATTATAATGAAGTATCGATCCATATATACATAGCAAAATATAGCATACATGTCAACAACCACACATATAATATGTATATGTGTCACCAAGCAACGGACTGTCAACAAACACTCATATTACATATAATATAAGGGGAATACACATTGTTAAAGGAGACAGGTTCATACAAGTGAAATGGTCACAGACTAAGAGAGCAACAGAAAGAGAGATCACCATACACACACACATATATATATGGATACATATCAGGTATAAACAAAAATTGTGATTTAAATGTATAGCAAAAATATTCATTTAGACATCTATAAAACACACAAAATAATTGAGCGAGTAAAGAATATCCTTTTCGATAATTTCCTCCTCTTCTGGCTCTACCATTATATACATGTGTGTTTATTATATACATAGAATATTCTAGATTAATAGTCAATAACAATATTAGTGTCTGTTAAATAATATCGATATGTTAAGTAAGATCAATGGAATTAAAGTTCATTCGAGATGCTTAAATTATAATAATAATATTAATATAGAAGCAAATAAAATATCAACTAAAATTAAGGAAATTCCACAACCAAATGAGTATACTTCACATCTAGATGGCCAAGGTAAAGATAATGTCTGAACTAACTTCATTTGGACGCATACATTAGGCTTCTTAATGTTTATCCCAACAGCTTCAGAAATATTTAGTAGTTGAACTCTTAAGTCGAAATTAAGATTGTTTTGGTATGCGGCAAATGACTCTGAAAGCTGCCTCGTTGACATGAATCTTGTGTTCTGCATCCACAAGATGAGATAGAATGGCGCTATGTGAATGGATTTTGTTTGTCCCTAACTTAACAAACCACTATGCAGGATGATGTTCAGAAATCCGAGAAGAGAAATACGCCTAATTGTACGGCCTATGCAACTAACTGGCTCACGCCACAGGAGCAGTTCCATTGGTAGATACACATGGAAGAGGCGAAATAAAGCAGTTTATCTTTTACTCCCAAACGCAAAATAGTGGTGAGTGGTTTTGAAGACACAGAGTAATTCGGTGGCAGGGAATGCACCTTTTACCGAATCTCACCGCGCTGTGTTAGTATCTCACTGATGTTGTCCTCGAGGAAGTGAATTTGTAAGAATAAGGCCTTTTTTGGAACTGTTGTTACCTTGGACTTCTTTGATTTTAGATGCATATTCTTATGAATAAACTTTTCTGGATAACCGTTTTCACTCATCAAGCACTCAAAATGATTAAGTTCCTTATCAAGACATGCTCTTCCTCTGTGGACCTGGCACTTTATCAGATTGTGTTTGTATTTCAAGGGAACAAACAGAGCTGAGAAAATGAGTATAGTGACCCGTTGATGTTGATTTTCTATATACACTTCCTCTTCTTATGTGTACCATCCTCTTTTCTGGTCATAAGGACATCTAGAAATGAAATACTATAGTCTTTTTCTTTCTGAATAGTAGAATTTATTGCAGGATGAACCTCGTTAAATTTATCCAGGATGGTTTTTGCTTCCTTCTCATTTTTCATAATCAAAAATGTGTATCATCGATGTACCGACAATAAAATTCTAGCTCATTAATAACATCCTTCAAAGGCCCATTTTCTAGTTTCGCGAGAAAAATCGATGTTATTTGAAAAACACTAACATTATTATTGGCTTCTGATCTAGAATATTCTAGGCATACAAACACACATTCATACGTAATTATAGAGCCAGAAGAAGAATTCATCAGAAAGCATATTCTTTGCTAGCTTAATTAATTTGTTTTATAATGGTGATTTACACATGCGCCTAAAAACAACTGAGTTTATAACTAGACAGGGATGAGGTTAATTCAAGAAACACTAGTTAACAGAAATTGGTGCGTTAATTGGTTCAGCAGCGGTAGAGAACGCTTCCGATCCGCGCATGTCAGTGGTCTGGATTTCAATCCCTGGCCGGTGTTGTAGTCCTCAGGCTCGCTAAACACGGTGGTAAGGCCGATAGAGACGGAAGTTTGGGTATGTGGTGAGCAACCCACCCCCATCTCACCTCGTAGGAATAAACATCACTGCTACCGACACTTCAAAGCTCTTGCTTGAAGCTCTATATTCCACTTGGAATGTAAAGGAATGTAAGATAATTATAGTTAGTAAAAGTTAGTGGTCTAATGTCTTTAAGTGTTTAAATCCAATGCTGATCTTGAAGAGGGAATTACTGCATAGCCCCAAGCAATGCAGAGTTATTTGAATCTTCAAAATGGTATATATTATGGTAAGTTACTAACAGTTAGTTATGTAATAGGAGTGATCAACGACAGCTAGTCTTTTCATGTCTTCCACTCTGAATGAAAAGACTGGCTGTCTTTGAACATAGGTATCTGTGTGTGTGCTAGATGTATAGGGTGATGAATATTGAGGTTAGGTGTCGAGTGCTAGGTAGGTGGGAGGGGAAATCAATCGATAAGGCTGTGAAACAGTTATATCGACTGAGATGGTTAGGACATGTGTTACGCATGCATGCGTAGTCATCGCCTTCCTCGACAATGGGCGATGTTAGCTGACATAGGGTCAGGTTGGAAGAGAACTAGTGGTCCCCAAACGAAAACATGGTTTCATCAGTCAATGAAATCCATAACTGTTACTTAAAGCCACGTTGGAAGGTGTGTACTTTCTGTTTGGGGTCCTCGGGACTGTAAAAACGAATGGTTGGAAACAATTGGTGATATGGTTCAAAATCGTTCTCAATGGCTGGCTCAGATGCATCCACTCCTTGTGACTTTTGATTTCCAATGAAACTATATTGTTCTTCGTTATTACTATTCCTTTGTCTCACACCTCTGTTTACTGTCTCTGTTATGCATTTCTTCCACTTTCTTCTGTTGCTTTGTGTGCAACATGGGGGTAGTGTGGCAACTTGAACTGGTGCACATATGTGCAAAGTTCTATGTCGAAAACAGACAGACAGTAACAGAAGTGATTACAGCTTTTCAACTCTTATTTACTCTGAGAGTTTTAGTGTTTTTTTTAAGGATTGTAATTAATTTCAGTGTGAATTTTGTTACATACTGACATCAGTTAGGGAATCAATGATGAAAATTAGGAGGGTCATTGGTGTACACTCATGAAAAGTCTCAGTCTAAGACGAAACTACTGTTTCAATGATACTCCATGAATTTCTAAGGGTTTCCTTTGCGGGGATATCATTTCGTGATGAAATCTACCCTGTAGGTACCCACACCACAGGAGGTTCGAACTCAGGACCTTTTGGTTACAAGGCTAGCGAGCTCGTAGACTATTTAGTAGTCACTGGGACCCTATCCAATGGCCAGCCAATCCATGAATTCTAACTTCGGCCAATTCATGACATAGCGCGACCATTTCGCAATGTCCTCTTCTTTGATTTACTGCCACACCTTCAACCCTACTGGTCACGGCTTTTTACTAGAACCCCATGTTCAACTACCTGAATAGGATCAGTCGCTGGTTAGCATCAGATTAATTTTCAAGTATTAGTTTTTTAGGGAATTTTGTTTGATTGGTTGAAGGATTTCATCATGAGCGCTGACATCAGTTAGAGAACCATTGGAAAAGCCAACCACAAGGAGTACTGCACAGATGTTTCGTCCTGTTTTTGGTCTCTTCATTAGTAAGCATCCACCGAGGTGGTCGCGGTATGCCATGAATTGGCAAGAGTTAGAATTTATGAACTGACTGGCCATTGGATCAGCTCCCAGTGACTACTGAATGATCTATCTACTATCTAGCTCGCACCCGTCTTGTAACCAGAAGCTTCTGGGTTCGAACCTTCTCCTGTGGTGTGAATGTGTATTTTTGCAGAGTCTCAAACTCTAGGTCGGAGGAAACAGCTGTGTAGTACCCCCTTTGGCTGGTTTTTCAAATAGTTTTCTAACTGAGATGTGTCAGCTCATGATGAAATCTTTTAACCAATTAAACAAAGTCTTTACAAAAGTAGTACTTGAAAATTTTTTGTTGTACTCAGAGTTGATTTTGTTTGGTTGTTTGTTTTTGACTAAACAACACGTAAGTAACTGAGTTCATGTGTTGTCTACTTACTCAGTGCTGAGATAACATGAATGTTGTCAGTATTGACAATGATAACAACAAAAAAAGAAAGAAAAACACTAAGAAGTACATGCTAAAACGTCCGAGGATAAGTAGACGTTGACTTGTAAATCCTTAACACTACTACGACTAATAATAATGCAGAAATTATATTCATATTTATTTTGAAATATTTTGGGCTTTTTTGTCACAAAATTCTTTTTTATTTCTTTTGACAAAATAACTTATTTTGTGTTGTATATATATATGGCTGTTTTTGCACACCACCCAACAACACTTTGCTAGTAGTGATAAAAATTATTCTGACATAATTTCTCGTTATCTTTTTTTTATCTCCTTTCTAAAGGTTGACATATGTTCATTTTGTAACACAGATTTTTTTTAAAAAAATTTCTGCCTATTTCCTCATTCACACATATGTGTATATCGTTTCTTCCTACCTCCTTCACTCCCTCCCACCTCCC